TGCTGCTAGTGGCGCATGCGCCGTCTAGGTGGGTGGGGGTGTGCTGAGGCCGAAGGAGTGATAACGACTCCTAGGTTTCCCCTGCCTGACCACTCCCCAGATTGATATCTTCTTTTGAAAAAAGGGACCTGCTGCCGGGCGCGGTGGCTCACGCCTGTAATCCCAGCACTTTGGGAGGCTGAGGCGGGAGGATCATCTGAGGTCGGGAGTTCAAGAGCAGCCTGGCCAACATGGACAAGCCCGGTCTCTACTAAAAATACAAAATTAGCTGCGCGTGGCGGCGTATGCCTGTAATCCCAGCTACTCGGAAGGCTGAGGCAAGAGAATCGCTTGAATCCGGGAGGCGGAGGTTGCAGTGAGCTGAAATCGCGCCATTGCACTTCAGCCTGGGCAGCAAGAGCGAACTCCGTCTCAGAAAAGAAAAGAAAGAAGGAGAGAAAGAAAAAAAGGGACTTGTTCGTCTTGCAAAAATCATGTTCGCAGAATGCAGACACCTGTAGTGTATTAAGGAAAACGAAGATAATCTGTTGATGACAGTACTCTGCGGAGTGTTAACTTGGGGCGTGCATCCTCCCAGCACCTGTTTCCTAAGGGGAGGGAAGATGCAAATTAAGATCGTTTAAAAATAATAGCCTAGTGAGTTCCCAAAGCCCATGGGAATCATGCAAGCTATTCGGGGTGCTTAAAAAAATTGACTGTTAAGATATTATGGATCCTTTTTTTCCCCCTACAATGTAGTCCTTGATTGGTTTTTGTGAGAATTTTTTTTTTCACAAATACGTGTTTTCAGTGGGAACCAAAGTCATCCCTGCCCAGGTACACTCTCACGTGTACTCACCTTAAAAGAAACACCTTAAAAAGAAATCCAAGGCCTCTGAGGACACTGCAACTGGCCTTTGAACGGCTCCAGCTTCTCAGAATTTCCTGCCTCCATTTCACTCTTCAGCAACTGACCTTCACACTCTAAGTCTCCCACCCCCACCCCAAGACCACCTGCGGCCAGATACTCCCAGACCTTTTCTCTTACTCATTCCCTGGCTGTTTTGGGGGGCAGAGGTGGGTGGGAATTACCAGGAGGTGCGGGAGGGGGGAATAAATGGGCGTAGGTGATGCTTTATTCTTGTCAGTCAGCTGCTTTCTCCTGCTGAGGGGAGAGTTGGGGGAGGGATTAAGGCTCTGCCACAACTCCACGTTATAGAAAATGGAAACCGAAAAGAGCTTTCCCCTTTCCCCCCGTGGAATTACCCAAAAAATAACTCAGCTATGAATCTCAGCTGCCCCTCTCTTGGTATTTCCCTGTCTTTCTCCTCCTTTATTTAGGGTAGGAATGTCCATCGCCTGACACAGAGAACCAAGTCATAGCCTTTTATCTGTCTATATTCCCTGAAAGGGCACAGATTCAATAAGCACTCGTGCCAGGAAACCAAAGTCAACAGAGGTTAAAGGCTTTGCCAAGGTGAATTAGGGTGGCAGGATGGATCCAAACATGCCAGGCTCTCATGCTGCAAATCCTTTGCTTTCTCCATGCAAACGGCCAAACAGCTCAATAAAGGATGCTAGCCTGGGCAACAAGAGCAAAACTCTGCCTCAAAACAAACAACAAACAAACAAAAAGGATGCTCAATATCATTCATTTAGGCAAATGGGCAAATACAAAGCAAAATCACAAGGAGATACGCCTAGCACTTATTAGGATGGCTAGAATAAAAACAAAACTGAAAACGTGTGAAGATGTAGAGACATTGAAACTGTCATACACTGCTGGTGGGAAAGTAAAATGATGTAGATAGATATTTAATGTTATGGAAAGCAGTTTGGCACATCCACAGAAAGTTAAACATAGTGTCATTTGATCCAGCAATCCCACTCATGTGTATCCATCCAGAGGAAAAGAAGTCATTATACAAAAAAGACACTTGCACACACATGTTTATAGCAGCACCATTCACAATTGCAAAAATATGGAACCAGCCCAAATGCCCATCAATGAGTGAATTTAAAAATGTGATATATGTGTATATACAGGTATATATATATATATTCTGGTTGCTGTGGATGCCATTATTTCATTCCTTTTATGACTAAGTAGTAGTCCATGGTGTGTGTGTATGTGTGTGTGTGTGTGTATATATATATATATATATATATACACACACACACATATATGTATAAATATATGTATGTGTGTATATATATACATATATACACCATGGACTACTACGTAGTCATAAAAGGAATGAAATAATGGCATTCACAGCAACCTGAATGGAATTGGAGACCATTATTCTAAGTGAAGTAACTCAGGAATGGAAAAGCAAACATCATATATTCTCACTTGTAAGTGGGAGCTAAGCTGTGAGGACCCAAAGGCATAAGAATGATACAGTGGTTCGGGCAGGGTGGCTCCCACCTGTAATCCCAGCACTTCGCAAGGTCAAGGCAGATGGATCACTTGAGGTCAGGAGTTCCTGAACAATATAATGAAACCCTGCCTCTACAAAAATACAAAAATTAGCTGGGCATGATGGCACGTACCTGTAATCCCAGCTACTGGGAAGGGTGAGGCAGGAGAATCACTTGAGCACAGGAGGCAGAGGTTCCAGTGAGCCAAGATCACTCCACTGTACTCCAGCCTGGGTGACAGAGGGAGACTCCATCCAAAGAAAAAAGATACAATGGACATTGGGGATGTGGGCGGGGGGAGGGTGGGAAGGAGGCAAGGGCAAGGGATAAAAGACTACACATTAGATACAGTGTACACTGCTTGGGTAATGGGTGCACCAAAATCTCAGAAATCACTACTAAAGAACTTATCCATGTAATCAAACACCACCTGTGTCCCCAAAACCTATTGAAATAATAAAAAGTTAAACATAGGGTTACTATATAATCCAGCAATTCCACTCCTAAGTATATACCCAAGAGAACTAAAAAGAGATATTCAAACAAAAGTTATGCATGAATGAGGCATTATTCATAAAACCCAAAAGAAACAACCCAAATGCCCATGAATTGGTTAATGTTTAAACAAATGTGCTGGCTGGGTGCGGTGGCTCACGCCTATAATCCCAGCACATTGGGAGGCAGAGGTGGGCGAATCACAAAGTCAGGAGTTTGAGACCAGCCTGGCCAATATAGTGAAACATCGTGTCTACTAAAATTACAAAAGTTAGCCGGGCGTGGTGGCAGGCGCCTGTAGTCCCAGCTACTTGGGAGGCTGAGGCAGGAGAATCTCTTGAGCCCGGGAGGCAGAGATTGTAGTGAGCTGAGATAGCAGCACTGAACTCCAGTGTGGGAAACAGACCAAGACTCTGTCTCAAAAAAAATAATTAAAATAAAAAATTAAAATAAGCAAATGTGCTATATCCATACCATGGATTATTTTAGCCGTAACATGAAATGTAGCACAGATATATGGATTTAACCCTAAAAATATTATAATACATTAAAGAACCAGACACAAAAGAGTGCAGATTGCATGATCTCATCTATATGGAATGGCCAGAATAGGCAACTCCAAACAGAAACAAAGTGGATTAGTAGTTGCCAGGGGCTGGGGAAGGGGGAATAAGGAATGACTACTAATAGAAATGGAGTGTTCATTTTAGAAAAATATTCTAAAATCGGCTGTGCTAATGGATGCACAATTTTCTGAGTGTGCTAAAAAGCAGTGACTTGTATATTTTTATGTGATGAATTATATGGTATGTGAACTGCATATCAACAATAAAAAATAAACTAGCACATAGATTTAATAAAATTTAGGTACAAGATTGGTGGGAAATTTTATAGTGTGGGTTAATCAAGACGAGAATACTTCAACTCACTGATCTTTTATATCAAATATATGCAAAACATATGTGAGTGTGGCCGGGTGTGGTGGCTCATGCCTGTAATCCTAGCACTTTGGGAGGCTGAGGCAGGCAGACCACCTGAGGTCAGGAGTTCAAGACCAGCCTGGCCAACATGGTGAAACCCGTCTCTACTAAAAACACAAAAATGAGCCGGGCATGGTGGTGCTCATCTATAGTCCCAGCTACTCTACTCAGAAGGCTGAGGCAGAATTGCTTGAACCCAGGAGGCGGAGGAGGTGGCAGCAACTTCACCACTGCACTCCAGCTTGGACAACAGAGCGAGACTCCACCTCAAAAAATAATAATAATCTGTGAATGCTGAAATCATGCAATTAAAGTACAAAGCATCAACTATGAATGTTCTTGCCAAAAAGATATATTGTACCTAAATCTAACCAAATCCATAGAACTAACTACAAGATATTCTAAAATATCCATAGAACTAACTACAAGATATTTTGCACTGGAATGGATACAGTGAAATGTAGAAAGTGAAAAATTCTACAGGACAAATAATAGACTAATCTCTCACCAAAGGAATAGCAAAGAAAAAAACAGGGAGAATTGTTACAGATTAGAAGATGAAGAGGAAATATTTGAATCAATATTATTTGTAGTACTTATTTTTTTAAATTTTATTTTAAGTTCCACGATACATCTGCAGGACTTGCAGGTTTGTTACATAGGTAAACGTGTGCCATGGTGGTTTGCTGCACCTATCAACCCACCACCTAGGTATTAAGCCCCACATACATTAGCTATTTATGCTATTTAGATCCTAATAAGAAAAAGAAAAATTTAAGAGGCATATTTAGGTCAAACAGCAAAATTGGACATGGATGTTTTCATGTGCCATTAAATAATAGTTATAATTTTTTAGAGGCAATGATGGCATCTTGGTTACATTTCCCTAAAGTCCTTATTGTTTAGAGTGTATATTATTGTAAACTGCATGGATTATATAGCTTGTTAGAATTCATGTGTGAATTCATATGATAATTGGAATATACTTTGACATATTTCAGCCCCAAAAATAGAAAATAAAACATAATTGGTAAATGGTGATTTGTTTTGTTTTTGTTTTTGTTTTCAGACAGGGTCTTGCTCTGACGCCCAGGCTGTGCAGTGGCACGATCTCTGCTCAAGAAAATGGTGATTATTAGCCAGGTATGGTGGCTCATGCCTGTAATCCTAGCACTTTGGGAGGCCAAGGCGGGTGGATCACCTGAGGTCAGGAGTTCAAGACCAGCCTGGCCAATATGATGAAACCCTGTCTCTAGTAAAAATTCAAAAATTAGCCAGGCATGGAGACAGATGCCTATAATCCCAGCTACTTGGGAGGCTGAGGCAGGAGACTAGCTTAGCAAGCAAGGGGTTGCAATGAGCCAAGATCGCGCCATTTCACTCCACCCTGAGTGACAGAGTGAGACTCTGTTTCAAAAAAAAAAAAAAGAAAAAGAAAGAAAGAAAATGGTGATTATTGGATTATTGTTGAAGCTGGTTGGTGGACATGAAATTTTGGATACATTCTTCTATCAGCTTTGAAATTGTTCATAATAAAGAGTAAACAAGAACAACCAAATTGGAGTTTGAGTATATTATTGAGAACTATGAGTGAAAGTATCACAAATAAAAGAGTTGGGCTGGGTGTGGTGGCACAGGCCTGTAATCCCAGTACTTTGAAGGCTGAGGAGGGCCGATTGCTTGAGCTCAGGACTTCGAGACCAGCCTGGACAACACGGCGAAACCTCATCTCTACAAAAAATACAAAAATTAGGTGAGTATGGTGGTGTGCACCTGTAGTCAATGCTACTCAGAAGGCTGAGGTGGGAGGATTGTTTGAGCCCAGGAGGTCAAGGCTGCGGTGAGTCAAGGTTTCATCACTGCATACCAACCTGGGCAACAAAGTGCGACCCTGTCTTAAAAAAATAAAAATACAAATAAAGAGTTGATTACGGTCACATTCACAGAGCTATAATTGCTTGGGTTTCAAGAGAGGATTGAAAAAAGGTGATTTTTATTTAAAGTATTGTAAAAATATTCAGCAGCTTGAGGTACAAGGTGTCGATTTTTAATAGGCCTTTGAATCAAAATGTAGTAAGTAGAAGGAAGTTATATAGTACTCTTCTTTTATAAGTGCACTATACTGTTGACGAGGTCACCTCTGGGAATGGCATGAAGATTAGGACTGGTGAACAAAGGTGACTTTCATTAATTTCTTCAACAAACATTTGTTGAACATCTAGTATATGCTAATCATGTTCTTAATGTGGAAAGTACAGCCACGAAATAGACCAAAACTATCCCAATTCACATGGAGCTCACATTCTAGTAGAGAAGACTGATAAAATCGTATGTACTACAACAGCAAACTGAGCAGGGAAAGGGAACAGTGTGGGGTGGGTGTGAAATTTGCACCTCTGGGTGGATTGTAGAGCTAAGGCCTCGCTGAGAAGAAAACATAAGAGGAAAGATCTGAGGGAAGAGATGAGAGAACTCTGTGGATATCTGGGAATGGGGATTTCAATGAGAGAGAGTATCCTGAGCTTTCCATGGATTTTTCCCTGCCAATGTATTCATCACTGACAAACAGTAATTTTCCCCCAGTCTTGATGCAAGGGGTGCTTCATTGTTGTTTGGCAGCATGAATTGGTCAGGATTAAGACCACAGTTACCTTGATGATTCACATAATTAGGACATGGTTTCAGACCTTTGATGCTTTGAACAAACTGAGGCTATATCCATGCATAGTAACTGTGTATGTTTCTATAAAATGGATGTTTTGGGAATACGTCTTTGCAATAACCTCTCACTTAAGTAGTTCAGTCCAGTATTTTAAGCTGTTTATAGCTACTTGAGTATGAATTTCAAACTGTTGCTTAGCACCCAATGTCAGGATACTCAACCATCATTGGAATCAATAAGCTATAGGTGGGAAAACATTTCCGTGTGTTTGGATGTGGACCTAATAAATTATTTGTTTCATTAGTTTCAGAAAAGGAACAATGGCTTAAGTAAGTAGAAAAGCCTGTTCAGTATCTTTGACCACAAGCCTGAATCTCGGACATTACCATATAAGGTTAATAAATGGTCATAGTTGATTACATCACAATAGGTATGACCTTATAAAGGCCAAACCAGCTTCAGTCTTAGGCTAATTTCTCCTAAGGGTGGGTAGTGGCTTGGAGGGTTTTAAGAGTTGTTGTTGTTATATTTTAATTTTATTTTACTTTAGTTTTAAATAGAGAAGTGGTCATGCTATGTTATCCAGGCTGGTCTCAAACTCCTGGGCTCAAGCAATTCACCTATCTTGGCCTTCCAAAGTGTTGGGATTGTGGGCGTGAGCCACCTTGTTTGGGCCCTTGTTATATCTTAAACAGTTAAAAAGACTGTTTTTTGTTTGTTTGTTTTTTCCTTTTTTTTTTTTTTTTTTTTTTTTTACACGGAGTTACCCAGGCTGGAGCGCAATGACGCGATCTCGGCTCACCACAACCTCTGCCTCCTGGGTTCAGACAATCCTTCTGCCTCAGCCTCCTGAGTAGCTGGGATTACAGGCACACGCCACCATGCCCAGCTAATTTTTTGTATTTTTAGTAGAGACGGGGTTTCACCATGTTGACCAGGATGGTCTTGATATCTTTACCTCGTGATCCACCCACCTCGGCCTCCCAAAGTGCTGGGATTACAGGCTTGAGCCACCGCGCCTGGCTGTTTTTTCCTTCTTACTGAATACTTACTGAGGAAAAGTGGTTTGTGTCTGTGGCAAAAGAATTCAACAATACTTTCTTTCCTTTTCAGGTCACACTATTATAAAAACATAGAAGAGTGTCATTTACAGCTGGTGTGGCCCTGTGGTGGTATAACCCAGACTTCAAGCACAGGTAAAGATCAGACAGACACTGACGTCCCGAATCTGATAGGTATGTAACACAATTCTCAATTGTCCTTTGATTATGTTTTACTCCCTTCTGCACAATAGGCTCATTTTTAAAGGTATGTCTCTCACTGAACTTCCTCTCTTAATGTCTGATTAGGCACTGTGTCTGTGTATACCCTATGGCTAGAGTTGTTAATTATGATAATCATGAGAGTTATCTCTGTGTGGTTGAAAATAACCTATTTGATAAGTTATAACACTGCTGAACTCAGATTAAACTCAAATCCCAAGAAAAGGTCATTTTTTAACTAGAGCTAAATGCCTTGATATTTGGAAGTATGACTTTCTGAAATGTTTTCATCCAGTTTGTACTGGTACCATGGAGGTTTGGTAAAAACCATATCTGTTCATTAGGCTTTGACTTGCATCATAGCCATCTCCTCAATGCTCAACATTGAGCAAAGAAAGGCAGCGTTATTTCAGTAATCTGGGACCTTGCAAGGCTATCAGAGTAGCCTGATATTTCCATAATCCACAGAGCTGGGAAACAATCTGGGGTGATCCTGTTTGTCCCCTTGGATTGCTGAAAAAAAAAAAAGGACCCTCCTGGCGTCCTAAACCGGGATCTCTGAAGGCTGTGTGAACCTTCCCATGTGAAGTGCACTCTGCAATGTGGCCTTCTGGTTAAGCAGTTTTATTCACATTTTACTGAAATTGCTGTTGGAAATGATCCAGCATAAGCTTATTTGTGGTGCATTTCAAAAAAGAAAACTACAGCTGTAGCATGCCAATTGTATATTATTCTTGCCTCCATAGCAAAAAGTAGGCTCACAGTAACAATCAAATGTAAATAATTTATTATTTATGATGTATTGTTCTTTGTGGTTTTAATAGTACATGCTTATTATAGGCAATTTAGAAAGTTATACACACTTCATGAGAAAGCCATGAGAGTACTTTCAAACCTTTGTATTGGCTTCCAATTTCTAATGGATCAGCACACATACTCTCCTGGTGACTTGGGCAAACCCTGAAGCCAAGGTTCAGCAGATACTGGCTTGTTGCTATGTGCCAGGTCCTTATGATTATGCTTTATTTATCTACAGTATTTGGGGCAGCAAGAGATGAGGGGACCAGGTAAGAGAGGGTAGTTAGCATCATAAACCCCTTATGACTTCATCAACTTGTCATCCTGGTTTTGAACCAATCATTTTACTTCTCTAGGTTTCAACTTTCTCAACTAAAATAAGGATCGAATAAATGAGTGGTTCTTAAATTTTCTTTTCTTTTGAGACAGAGTTTTGCTCTGTCACCCAGGCTGGAGTGCAGTGGCACAATCTCAGCTCACTGCAACCTCCGCCTTCTGGGATCAAGCAATTCTTCTGACTGCCTCCTGAGTAGCTGGAATTACAGGCATGTGTCACCGCACCTGGCTAATTTTTATATTTTTAGTAGAGATGGGGTTTCAACATGTTGGACAGCTGGTCTTCAACTACTGACCTCAGGAGATCTGCCCACCTAGGCCTCCCAATGTGTTGGAATTACAAGTATGAGCCACTGCACCCAGCCAATATTTTATCTTCAAGGACCTTTTTGAGAAGCTGCTGAATGGTGTGGGAATTTTTGTAAAAAGCAGAATGTGTACATACATACACACAAATTCAGGAACCTCAAGGACACCTATGGAATTCTCTAAAGAGCTCAGTCTTTTCCAATTTCATACATATATGTGATTCTAGTGTCTTCCATCATTCAGATTATATCAGGCCCCTGCCTAAAACTCTCCAGTGTTTTCCCTTAAAATTAGAATTAAAATAAGAACCAGCCACAGCTAGTTGCCAACAAGACATGGTTACTCTGCCTGCCCCAGACACAAAGGTTTTCTTTTTTTGTAAGCTGTAGTCAGGTATAATTGACAGACAATAATCTGCCCTTATTTAAAGTGTACTATTTGATAAATATTGCCAGAGGTGACAGCTGTGAAAGAATCAGCAGAATGAACACATAGGACATATCCATCACATTCCAGTGTTCTGGATCCATATGTGTGCACAGTGATGAAACCTACATTATTGCTCCAAAGAGATTGCTTAGTTATTTATGTCATAATATATCATGTTTATGGTTAACTAGGAATAAATTATTATCAAGGCATTCATATATGTATTGAAAGAAAAAGCATCCACCTTGATGGTTTGAATGTTCCTTTCTTTCATTATGTATGTGTATTTTCTGCCTCGGTCCAATGTTATTTAAGCAAAATTTTTCACTAGAGATCCTGAGTTAATGAGTGTTATTGGATATCCTCTTTGCATTGCTTTTAGTTTAATGGTTATTTGAGTCTTAACCATTTTAAACATGGAGCCTTTGACACATTTCCACTCATAATGAATTACAAAAGAAATTTTAAGAATTCTATAATCATAAAAGTTGAACATATTTTCAATGATTTTAAAATAGTGATAATGTGGTCAAATATATTCATGGTGCTTGGTCTTGACAACCTCCATTCAGTAAGTTATCTAAGGAAAGAATATACAGTAGCTTATGTTTCATATGTGGTATAGGTCAATTTCTCTTTATTGGCAATTACATAAAAATAATAGCCTGCATAGTAGAGTTATCAACTGGCAGCCACCTTTGCCTAAGGGAGGCGACATAATTTCTAATTGCTTTTGTTTAATCTTAATAGACTCTTTTTTTTTTTGAGACGGAGTTTCGCCCTTGTTACCCAGGCTGGAGTACAATGGCGCGATCTCAACTCACCACAACCTCCGCCTCCTGGGTTCAGGCAATTCTCCTGCCTCAGCCTCCTGAGTAGCTGGGATTACAGGCATGCGCCACCATGCCCAGCTAATTTTTTGTATCTTTAGTAGAGACGGGGTTTCACCATGTTGACCAGGATGGTCTTGATATCTTGACCTAGTGATCCACCCGCCTCGGCCTCCCAAAGTGCTGGGATTACAGGCTTGAGCCACTGCGCCCGGCCAATCTTAATAGACTCTTGAGTGGACTTAGTAAAAGTTGAAGAAAGTGAACAAAAACAGTAGTGGAAATTTCATAAAAGGAAGGCATACCATATATTAGATATTATTGTTTTACTTAATTTTTTTTGTTTGAGATGGTGTTTTGCTTTTGTTGCCCAGTCTGGAGTGCAGTGGCACGATCTTGGCTCAGCACAACCTCCACCTCCTGGATTCAAGTGATTCTCTTGCCTCAGCCTCCTGAGTAGCTGGGATTATAGGGATGCACCATCACTCTCAGCTAATTTTGTATTTTAGGTAGAGATAGGGTTTCTCCATGTTGTTCAGGCTGGTCTTGAACTCCCCTCTTTAGGTGATCCACCCACTTCAGCCTCCCAAAGTGCTGGGATTACAGGCGTGAGCCACCATACCTGGCTTATTGTTTTATTTAATAACCTACTCTTACCACATATTTTATTCTAAGAGTAATAATTTTTGTAAGAGTAATTTTTAATATTGTTTCAGTTATGCAGTACTTTATATTTCTGGACCCAAATCATAAGCACAGGATATTTCTTCGTAGAATTACAGTGAAGCACTGTAAACAAATGAAATATCTATCAGTTGAGAAGAGTTCAAGAAACATATTGGACCAGGCACAGTAGATCACATCTGTAATCCCAGCACTTTGGGAGGCTGAAGCGGGTGAATCACTCTAGCCCAGGAGTTACAGACCAGCCTGAACAACATGGCAAAACCCTGTCTCTAAATAAAATAATATAAATATGTATTTTTATGATATAACCATACATACTGTAAAATACAATGAAGTTATTTATAAGTAACTCTATAAAAAGAAATTTATAAATAATAGAATGAAGTGTGTAATTTGATACATTTTGATGTATGTATACATCCATGTTACTGTCACTATGTCAAGATATTAAGAATATCCAACACCTCAAAAACTACTCTTTCCCCTTTGTAATCTTCCCCTCATATCATTCCCTGCCCTGCCATCCCCTGGCAGTCATTGATTTGCTGTATATCACTATAATAAATTCAACAGGTTTTTGGAGTTTTAAATAAATGGAACGATACAGAGTGCATTCTCTTTTTTTGTCTGGCTTGTCTCACTTGGAATATTCTGTTTTTCATCCATCCGTGCATCAGTGATTCATTTCTTTTGTTGCTGAGTGGTGCTCCATTATACAGATAGGCCACAGTTTGTCTGTTTTCCTGTCAATGGGCATTTGAGGTTTTTCCAGGTTTTGGCCATTACAAATAAAGCTGCTAGGTACCTTTGGGGGAACATATGTTGTATGAACATATGCTTTTATTTCTGTTGAGGTATAATTTACCTATTGCTAAATTTACTTTCAACGTGTAAAAAGTTGTATGACTTTTGACAAATACATCTAGTCATTTATCTACCATCACAATCAAGATATGGAATCTATGACCCCAGAAAGTTCCCCTGGGTTTCTTTGTATTTCAATGCCTTCAACCTACTTCCAGCCTGGCAACCACTGATCTAATTTCTATGCGTATAGTATTATATTTTTAATAGTATCATATACTTGGAATCATAGAAAAATGATCCATTTGTTTCTGGCTTCTTTCACTCAGCACCATGCTTCTGAGACTCATCCATGTGGCTGCATGTATCAGTGGTTCATTTTTGTTGTTGATGAATATTATATTGTAGGGATATGTGACAGTTTGCTAATCCATTCATCAGTTCCTGGACATTTGGGTTGTTTCTAGGACTTTGTGTATGTATGGTATAAAACACACACACACACTCACACATATACATATATATATGAACATGTTTATTTCAGCCAGGCGTGGTGGCTCATGCCTGTAATCCCAGCACTTCAGAAGGCTGAGGTGGGTGGATCTCCTGAGGTCAGGAGTTCGAGACCAGCCTGGCCAACATAGTGAAACCCCATCTCTACTAAAAATACAAAAAAAAAAAAAAAATTAGCTGGGCGTGGTGGCGGGTGCCTGTAATCCCAGCTACTAGGGAGGCTGAGGCAGGAGAATCACTTGAATTCAGGAGGCAGAGGTTGCCGTGAGCCGAGATTGCACCATTGCACTCCCGCCTGGACAACAAGAGTGAATCTCCACCTCAAAAAAAAAAATTGTTTATTTCTAAGATCTGAATTTCAACACAAAACAGTTAAAATGTCCATGATAAATGAAAATAAATTTGGTCTACCATGTTTTTCTTTTCTTTTTCTTTTTTTTTTTCTTTTTTGTGACAGGGTCTGACTCTGTCCTCCAGGCTGGAGTACAGTGGCATGATCTTGCCTCACTGCAGCCTCAACATGCCCCCACCCACCCCCAGACAAAGACTCAAGGGATCCTCCCACCTTAGCCTCCCTAGTAACTGGGACCACAGGTGCACACCACCATGCCTGGCAATTTTTTTTTCTTTTCTCTCCTTTTTAAAAATTATTTGTAGAGACAGGTTTTCACCATATTACCCAGGCTGATTTTTTTTTCTAGGAATGAAAACATGATGATTTGCCTTTAGTTGGGGATCTATTTCTTCATTATGCCACTCCTACAACCAGCACTATCCCCACCCCCACATGAGTACTTAATTGTCATGAAAATATTCAATGAGTGAGGGTGTAAAAATTCAAAGAGCAAAAAATGCTGAATATATTTAATATGTAATACTGCTTAGATATTTCCTGAAAATACATTATTAAGTGTATGTTTATCTTGGTGATCATTGCAGAGAAATGAAGAATTCACAGCCTGATCGTAACTTCAAGCCAAGAAATAAAAAAAGGAAGAAAAAATCAAGAAGCTCAGAACAGAACTTCATCAATACTGACCACAGGTAATGAAACTAGATATGTATTGTATCATGTCACATTGTGATCCATGGTAGGAAATTATCTTGTTAGATGGAAGCAAACTATAATAAGTAGTAGACTTTTTAGCAAATTCTCATTTCATTTAAAATAACTCTATAGAAAACAATAACTCCATAGATTTTATTTTCTAAGACAATAAACCATTTTCATGTGTGGAAAATACCCAGGGATTACTAAACTGTCCTAAATGTTTTGTGACAACATATTAAACAAGCAAAAATTTGTTTGTTTGTTTTTTTGTTTGTTTGTTTTGAGACAGAATCTCACTCTGTTGCCCAGGCTAGAGGGTAGTGGCATGATCAAGGTTTACTGCAGCCTCAACCTTCTAGGCTCAAGTGATTCTCCCTCCTCCACCTCCAAAGTAGCTAGGACTGCAAAAACATACCACCCCACACCTGGCTAATTTTTAAATGTTTTGTAGAGACAGGGTCTTACGATGTTGCCCAGGCTGATCTCAAACTCTTGGCCTTAAGTGAGCCTCCTTCCTCAGCCTCCCAAAGTTCTGGGATTATAGGCATGAGCCACCACACATAGCCACAAAACTAATTTTGAGAAAAAATTGTTATAATTATGTGAATAATTGGGTCAACAATATTTCCTTTTAGAAAGAAAATTGGGGCCAGGCGGGGTGGCTCATGCCTATAATCCCAGCACTTTGGGAAGCCGAGGTGGGTGGATCACCTGAGGTTAGGAGTTTGAGACTAGCCTGACCAACATGGTGGAACCCCATCTCTACGAAAATACAAAGAAATTAACCCAGCATGACGGCAGGTGCCTGAAATCCCAGTTACTGGGGAGGCTGAGGCAGGAGAATGGCTTGAACCCGGGAGGTGGAGGTTGCAATGAGCCGAGATCATGCCATTGCACTCCTAGCCTGGGTGACAGAGCAAGACTCCATCTCAAATAAGAAAAAAAAAAAAAAGGAAAAAGAAAAAAAAATTGGACCATATGCAAGATCTCGTCTCAAAAATGAAAGAAAATCTTTACATTTCAATAATCTCAAAGCCCTCTGTATACCTATGTAAATCTCAAATTTTTAAAAACCTTTAAACTTTATACATTCAGCAGAACTTTCTGCAATGAAAGTTCATTGCAGGGAATATGCATAAAGTGAAGACTGCATTTTAACATAATGGATGCTCACTAGGTGTTTATTGATTGAATTGGTTTGTTTCTACCATTCTATAAAAAATAAGTTAAGCAAAAGTCAGCAGTGAACTGCAAATGACACAATCTGTTGGCCTTTACCTATCCTGACTCTAGTTCACTTCATAATATTTGATCATTTCTTTTCAATAAGGTTTTATTTTTCTATCCTCCTACTTCCTTTTTTTGGGGGGAGGGGGAGGAAGGCAGGAAGGGAGGGAAGAAGGACGGTAGGGAGGAAGGAAGGGATGAAGGAAGGAAGGAAGGGAGGAGGCGGGGAGGGAGGGTAGAAGGACGGTAGGGAGGAAGGAAGGGATGAAGGAAGGAAGGAAGGGAGGAAGCGGGGAGGGAGGGAGGGAGGGAGGGAAGGGAAGGAAGGAAATCAAGCAATGAGAGAGACATTGCCAACCTGGATCTAGAGGTTTACAAGTTGATTTCTTTTTTTTTTGAGAGAAGGAAAGAAAAAAAAAATAAGTAAAGGAGAGGAAGAAAGAGGAAGAGAAAGAGGGAGAGTAAATGGAAATATTGCTTTATTTTGAAAAAAATTGAGTATTAATAATGGCCAATCAATGTTTCATTTAAACTTATGGGTAGGTGTGATGTGGTATTGACAAGAATGTATATTTTGTGTATTTGAAGTGGAGAGCTCTATGAATATTTATTAAGTTTACTTGTTCCGGATCTGAGTTCGAGTCCTTGATATCCTTATTAATTTTCTGTCTCATTGAATCTAAGTCTCGTATCTGGGTGTTAGGATCGTTAGCTCTTGTTGTTGCATTGATCCTTTTACCACTATATCTTTTTGCTTTAAAATCTATTTTCTCCGATATGAGAATTGCAACTCCTGCTTTTTATTTATTTATTATTTATTTTTGCTCTCCATTTGGTTGGTAAATCTTTCTCCATCCCTTTGTTTTGAGTCTTTGTGTATCCTTGCATGTGAAACAGGTCTGGATGTAAAATGCCATTGGGTTTTGGCTGTGTCTTTTGATTGGGGGATTTAGTCAATTTAAATTTAGGGTTACTTCCATTTGATGTTGACTGGCTGTTTTATCCATTCGTTGGTGTAAATTCTTCTTTATGTTAGTGCTCTTTACTTTTTGGCGTATTTTTAGAAAGGCTAATACTGGTTGTTTCTTTCTGTGTGTAATGCTTCTTTCAGAAGCTCTTGTAAAGCAGGCCTGGTGCAAATGACACAATCTATTGGCCTTTACCTATCCTGACTCTAGTTCACTTCATAATATTTGATCATTTCTTTTCAATAAGGTTTTCTTTTTCTATCCTCCTACTTCCATTTTTTTTTTTTTTTTTTTTTTTTTTTTTGAGATTGAGTCTCACTCTGTCTCCCAGGCTGTAGCACAGTGGCACAATCTCAGGTCACTGCAACTTCTTCCTCCCAGGTTCAAGTGATTCTCCTGCCTCGGCTTCCCAACTAGCTGGGATTACAGGTACCTGCCACCATGCCCAGTTAATTTTTGTATGTTTAGCAGAAATGGGACTTCACCATGTTAGCCAGGCTGGTCTCGAACAACTAACCTCAAGTGACATGCCCAACTCAGTCTCTCAAAGAGCTGGGATTACAGACGTAAGCCGCCGCACCTGGCCCCTTTTGTATTTCTGAGAATTCAGTTACTTTCCCTTATTTTACCCCTCAGTGGGGCATTCCTGAAGGTTCTGTCCTCAGTTCATGACAAATTACATGCATTTATGAAGACGTGGTCTTTTATAGTAAAAAGGGAACTGAATTAGGTATATGAAGAATTGCATTCAAGTCTTGATCATGTTTCACACTGTGTGAACTTTGTCCATTTACCCAAACTTTTTGGAGTTTGTTTCCTCATCTGCAAGCAGTGAAATGAAACTACTTGCCCAACTTACATAACAGAATTATAATGAGGATCAAAACAGATGATAGATGTAAAAACTCTGACAAGGATATATTACCATGCAAATGGATGTTACTTTTCATTGTTACTATTATTAGACAGCTAGGTCACTGACAGTATGAGACAGAATCTTTGTATAAACTTATTTGGCTCCTAAGGAAATTAAACTAATGTTCTTGTATTAATTATCCATATTTGACCAACTATTCGAACAGGTCCAAGACATATAGAGTATGTTTTTGCATATGTTTATCATGAAATCTAATTTGTCATTATGTTGTAGTAGTATTTCACAAGGCCTTTGATGAGGATACCAACTTTCCTAGCATTAGAGTGTTAGCAGAAGTAGTCATTGTGTAGAGTTTAAAATGCTTATTATATTTCTTTACAAGTCTTTTCTATATACTGTTAGGTCCTTGAAAGTTAATAAATTAATAAGTTTATGGCTGGGTGCGGTGGCTCACGCCTGTAATCCCAGCACTTTGGGAGGCCGAGGTGGGTGGATCACGAGGTCAGGAGTTCGAGACCAGCCTGGCCACATGGTGAAACTCTTTCTCTACTAAAAATTAAAAAATTAGCCAGGTGTGGTGGTGTATGCCTATAATCCCAGGTACTCAGGAAGCTAAGGCAGGAGAATCATTTGAATCCAGGAGGTGGAGGCTGCAGTGAGCTGAGATAGCACCATTGCACTCCAGCCTGGGCAACAGGGCAAGACTCCATCTCAAAATAATTAATTAATTAATTAGTTTGGTGCAAAATCTCTTTATTTATTTTATTTATTTTTTTTTGAGACGGAGTTTCACTCTTGTTACCCAGGCTGGAGTGCAATGGCACCATCTTGGCTCACCACAACCTCCGCCTCCTGGGTTCAGGCAATTCTCCTGCCTCAGCCTCCCGAGTAGCTGGGATTACAGGCACGCACCACTATGCCCAGCTAATTTTTTGTATTTTTAGTAGAGACGGGGTTTCACCATGTTGACCAGGATGGTCTCGATCTCTTGACCTCGTGATCCACCCGCCTCGGCCTCCCAAACTGCTGGGATTACAGGTTTGAGCCACCGCGCCCAGCGCAAAATCTCTTTAAAAGCCCACAAATGTCTACTGTTATATATTCTGGCCTGCATATTTTATTGCAAACATTTAAACATTTGACTATTTGTATTACAGGAGCATGGACCATCAGGCTGCTTGTAGACTTCAGGATCTTTTCAACCAGTCCTACAGGCAGATAGAGGGCCATCCCCACCACATGTTCTACCACAACCATCTCTTCCTAAAGGATTTTTTACTACTTTTCCGACTCCTTTACATGAACTAAGTAGGAAACCATCATCATGACCATCACCTTTGCAGACCTCCTCTACTACCACCTTTGTTAAGAGACCTACTCTCCAGGATCCCCACCTGCTGTATTATGCAGTGAAATAGAAATAAATGTGTAAGCCTCAATTCTATGTGTTGATTCTTGAACTACACGAGAACTCTCTTTGAAGAGAATCAACTCATCAAGGCAAAACTTTGAATAGTTTTTGGTGATTTGGGGCCACTGGTGATTATTAATGAGTGAAAAGTGATTAGCTGGCTGGTCACGGTGGCTCACACCTATAATCTCAGCACTTTGGGAGGACAAGGCAGGTGGATCACCTGAGGCCAGGATTTGGAGACCAGCCTGGGCAGGATGGTGAAAGCCCATCTCTACTAAAAATACACAAATTAGCCTTGCATGGTGGAGGGCGCCTGTAATCCCAGCTACCTAGGAGGCTGAGGCAGGAGAATCACTTGAACCCGGGAGGCAGAGGTTGCAATGAGCCAAGATCATGCCACTGCACTCCACCACAGAGCAAGATTCCATCTCAACAACAACAACAAAAGTAAAAGAAAACTGATTAGCCATGTATAAGTATTGTATAATGTTAGAGAATATGACTGCTTATTTTTTATTTCCTTTGTGAGCTTACCATGTTATCAATATAATATTTCGATAATTGGAAAGTTATAGAGAATATTAAATTCATGTAGAAGGCAAAGAGAAATCAATAAAGTGGTGGAAGGATACTTGTATTAGTTTTTCAGGGCTGTCATACAACATTCCTACAAACTAGGTGGCTCCAAACAACAAAAATTTATCTCTCACAGTTTTGGAGTCCAGAAGTCCAAAGTTAAAGTGTTGGCAGGGCCACACCTTCTCTGGAGGTTCTAGCAGAGTAACTGTTCCTTGTCTCTTTTAGCTTCTGGTAGTTGTTGGCATTAATTGGTTTGTGTCCACCTCTCTCTCTACTCCATGTTCTCATAGCCTTCCCCTCTGTATATCTGTAAACTCCCCCACCTCTCTCTTGTGTCAACAAGTCCACTGAAAAAGATTTTCTTTTAAGGAAACCAAAAGAGACTTTATTCCAGTAAACAGTTTGCAAACCAGGGAGATACAGTCTTCTGTATAAAACAAAGGTGCATTCAGAGAGAAGAGAGTGGTTATTTTGCGGGGGGAGTGGGGGACCTTCCTTTAACTGAGACTACCCTGAGTGGAAGAGTGTTTATCTTTTTTTTTTTTTTTTTTTTTTTTGACGGAGTCTTGCTCTGTCACCAGGCTGGAGTGCAGTGGCACAATCTCAGCTCAATGCAACCTCTGTCTCCCAGGTTCAAGCAATTCTCCTGCCTCAGCCTCCCAAGTAGCTGGGATTACAGGAATGCACCACCACGCCCGGCTAATTTTTGTATTTTTAGTAGAGATGGAGTCATGTTGGTCAGGATGGTCTCGATTTCTTGACCTCATGATCCACCTGCCTCGGCCTCCCAAAGTGCTGGGATTACAGGCGTGAGCCACCATGCCCGGCCAAGTGGTTATCTTTTATAGACAAAGTTCCCACCCATGTTCCCCACTCTGGTCCACTTATGCAAATGAAGAAGCAAACTTCCTTAGTTCTGATTCCTTGACTTGCTGAGTTCTGATTGGTCCACACAGGTCACAGTCTATTGGCCTATTAAGCAGTTATGGAAGTCCCAAAGTTAAGTGAGCATGGAGTTTTCCAGGACTGCAAAGTATGTGCGTGACCTCTAGTAAGCAAATGGCCTGTTGGCTCTATTTTTAATTTAGGCCCAGTTAGCCACTCAGCATCCATCTTAAAGGATTGGCTCTTTCAGAGTTCACATGTGAATGCATTTAGGGTCCACCCAAATAATCCAGGATAAGCTCCTTCTCCAAAGATCCTTAACATAATCAGGCCGGGTGAGGTGGCTCACACCTGTAATCCCAGCACTTTGGGAGCCTGGGCAGGCAGATCACAGGGTCAGCAGTTTGAGACCAGCCTGACAAACGTGGTGAAACCCCATCTCTACTAAAAATACAAAAATTAGCCAAGCATGGTGCACCTATAATCAATCCCAGCTACTCAGGAGGCTGAGGCAGGAGAATCGCTTGTAGTGAGCAGAGATTGTGCCACTGCACTCCAGCCTGGGTGATGGAGCGAGATTCTGTCTCAAAAAAAAAAAAAAAAAAAGATCCTTAACATAATTATATATTTTGCCATATAAAGTAATACAGGTTATAGGAATTAGGTCATGGGCATTTCCTACTGGGGACCACCGTCCATTCCACTACGAGAAAATAGGAAATACATTCTCAAAAGGAATTTTGATTCTTTTACTATCTTTAAGTGGTGTTACACATAGGGATGATCCAGTGGCAGCAGGCTAGACAGGAGAACTACATAGCCCAGTGGTGGTGGACTGGGCAGGAAAACCACAAAGGATGCAAATAGCATGTTCATATAGCATTTTCACCTAGCACCCTCCCCCTACCAACCTCCAAAACAGAAGGCCCCCATACAGCCTGCATCACAGGACGGAGTAGAGGGAGGTTCAGATGTTCCTTATAGATAAAGAATAAATCTCTGCATTGGCCACTACCAGATTTCTAAGCTTAGAACTCCAAACATGCATTCAGGTGCATCTGCCATACAGGGTTATTCTCATGGTATGCTTCAGTTATTGCTGTCAGGCATGTTTACCATACACGGGGGTAGCTACCATACAACTGCACATGAAGAAACTTTTTTTTTTTTTTTTTTTTTTGAGACGGAGTTTCGCTCTTGTTACCCAGGCTGGAGTGCAATGGCGCAATCTCGGCTCACCGCAACCTCCACCTCCTGGGTTCAAGCAATTCTCCCGCCTCGGCCTCCTGAGTAGCTGGGATTACAGGCACGTGCCACCATGCCCAGCTAATTTTTTTGTATTTTTAGTAGAGACGGGGTTTCACCAGGTTGACTAGGATGGTCTTGATCTCTTGACCTCGTGATCCACCCGCCTCGGCCTCCCAAAGTGCTGGGATTACAGGCTTGAGCCACCGCGCCTGGCCTGAAGAAACTTTTTAAAAGAGGCAGCAGTGGAATGCATGAATGGGGAAAGGAAAGCAGGTATAGGGCAAATAAAATTACAGGTGAGCACAACATCTAATATGATGGCTATAAAGAGGTAGACTTGGTTAAGTCAGAAATTAAAACTTTCGTGATGATGTCTTTGGTAGATAGAATCATTGATCTCACTTCTTCACCTCCTCACTGTATCCACACCCTTTGTCATGTGACTTTGCATGTCTGTCAGAATTGGAGTGTATTTCCCCATTTATTTATTTATTTATTTATTTATTTATTTATTATTTTATTTTATTTTTTAATTTTGTTGTTGTTGTTGTTAATCAATGAGAGCTTGTAACGTTGCTCAGGTTGGCCTTGAACTCATGGCCTCGCCTCCTCAAGCGCCAGGACAACTGGCTGGAGCCACCTCGGCCCCCTCTTTATTTTTGAGACAAGGTATCTGTCACCGAGGCTGGAGGGCAGTGGCACAATCACAGCTCACTGCAGCCTCAACCTTCCAGGTTCAAGTGATCCTCCCACCTCAGCCTCCCAAAGTAATGGGATTAGAGACATGAGCCACTCCGATTGGCCTCTGCCTCTTTAATATTATCCTCAGACATATGATTGTCACTGGCCAAAGGGATATAAGCAAAAATGACAGCATGTCAATTCTGAGCTTAGGACATAGGAGGCATTATAGTTTTTCTACCTGCTCTCTTTTTCCCTCTGTCATCACCATCCCTTGGGTAGCCTACTGATTATAAAAAAATGAGAGATATGTAGAGTACACCCAGACCCAGACTTGCAGCCATCTAGCTGAGCCTAGCTCAAATTAACCAAGGAACTACCAGGCAATCTGCAGATGTGTGAGCAAAAAAGATGTTTACTGTAATACACCACTGAGATTTAATGATTTTCTCTAGGCCACAATAGCAACCTAATAAAATATCACATGGTGCTAAGAAATACAGATCAGGGATTAAGAGGCAGTGCACAGAATGGATAGGAGCTCATACTTTGGGAGTCAAAGTCTAGCTCTGCCACTTAACTACCTGTGGGAATGTCAGGAAATCACTAAGCTCCCTGCACCTAAGTTTCCTCATTTGTGTAATTGGGATGATAGTTTATGTACCTTGTCATACTTCACAGAGTTATTGTGGTAACTAAATTAATATATATAAACTGCCAAAGATATTAGTTTGCACACAGGAAACACTAGATAAGTATTTGTTATGATTATGATTATGATCATCCTCATCCACTGGAACCTATAGCTAGTATTTGAACCAATGATAAATGTCATAGAGAAGTGCCCAAATGTAATACAAATATTCGGTAGCAATATATATTCTACCTAAAACCATATGAAATTCACCCTTTGCATACAACTTCAAAACAATAAGAATTATAAATCTGTTTTTTTCTCTTTTGAGATGGAGCTTCGCTCTTGCTGCCCAGGCTGGAGAGGAATAGCCTGATCTTGGCTCACTGCAACCTCCGCCTCCTGGGTTCAAGTGATTATGCTGCCTCCACCTCCCTAGTAGCTGGGACTACAGGCATCTGCCACCATGCCCAGTGAGTTTTTTGTATTTTTAGTAGCGATGGGGTTTCACCATGTTGGCCAGGCTGGCCAAACTGCCCAGGCTGGTCTGGAAATCCTCAACTGAGGTGATCCACCCGCCTCAGGCTACCAAAGTGTTGGGATTACAGGCGTGAGCCACCTCACCCGACCTTATAAATCTGCTTTTAACCTTTGCCAATGTAGAACACAAACAACCATATTTCAGTAGTATTTTAAAAAGACATAGCCCCCTGGCAGGGCACAGTGGCTCATACCTGTAATCCCAGCTACTAGGGAGGCCAAGGTGGGTGGATCACTTGAGGCCAGGAATTGGAGACCAGCCTGGACAACATAGTAAAATCCCATATCTACCAAAAATTAAAAAAAAAAAAAAATTAGCCAGGCATGGTGGTGCACACTGGCAGTCCCAACTACTTGGAAGGCTGAGGCATGAGAATCACTTGAATCTGGGAGTCAGAGGTTGCAGTGAGCAAAGATCATGCCATTGCACTCCGGTCTGGGCAACAGAGTGAGACAATGGTGGTTTGTCTTTAAATATGTTATTTTTCAGGAGCTATTATACTATATAAATCCAGACTTTGTCTGGTTTTGGTTTTTGTTAGTTTGTTTCTTTTTTTTTTTTTTTGAGACAGAGTCTGGCTCTTTCACCCAGGCTGGAGTGTAGTGGCCCGATCTCAGCGCACCACAACCTCCACCTCCCAGGTTCAAGCGATTCTCCTGCCTCAGCCTCCCGAGTAGCTGGGACTATAGGCACGTGCCACCATGCCCAGCTAATTTTTGTATTTTTAGTAGAGATGGAGTTTCACCTTGTTGACCATGATGGTCTCTATCTCTTGACCTCGTGATCCACCTGCCTCGGCCGCTCCAAGTGCTGGGATTATAGGTGTGAGCCACCGCGCTTGGCCTGTGAAAATTTTAAAACATTGTTTTTATATTTCTGATTTAAGAAGTATTACATGCTCACTATAAAAATGCAGAAAATGATGCTGAAGTACAAAAGAAAAGGGTAAATCC